GACCTATCCTCAGGTCTTTATCAAGGTACATGAAAAAACTAGCAAAAAGTGGACACACATAACCACTGTAGTGGAAGGAGTTAAAGAATAACAATGCGGATTATAATGAGAGTAATTAAAATCGGGTAGGCCTATACTTTGATAGTAATAAACAGTTTGCAATGAGAACGGAGATTAATAGTCGTTCCCACATTATGCCGACAGAACAGACTATAGTATATTGACCAAAATTCCAAATAAAGACAGGAAATAGAGAAACATAGCATAACATTTAGGCCACAATGGACGCAAGTATAAAATATGTAAAATAATAAATATATAATGTCAAGAGCGAGGTAAATAAATAAAATAGTCAAAATGAATCAATGTTATGAAAAAGTTTCATAAAAATGAGTGTAGCATAGCTACATCAAAAAGGTAGGAAATAAGTAAACAACACGTTATAATAAAACCTGTTGATATAAAAATATCAACAGGTTTTATATATATATATATGTACAGTAGAACCTCGATTTCACGTACAGTACAGGACCAGAGGGCGTACGTAAATCGGGGGATTCGTAAAATAGAGGTTAGGTTAAATTTGTGGTAACCTTTGACCTAATACGTACATAATGCTCAATAAACGTATGTACGAAAGAACGATGTTACCTAGGCTAGACCTAGCCTCTGGCCTAGGCCTACGAATAAAACCATGTGTTTAGTGTTTTTATTCATCACTTTACGATGTCATAATAAAGTGTTCAAATAAAATCATGTGTCTAGTGTATTAATTCATCACTTTATATATCTTTTATCTAACTAAATTAAAGAACATGAAAATATTGTAAGATTACCTATACGACAAAGGTATATCTTGGGAATTTCCCTTCATGCCTATTCTAACAACAGAGCTGTGGTGTTGTCTGGGCCTGTTAAGACAAACTAAAACCATGTGCGCTGCACTGGGTGAGCCAGCCAATTAGCGTTCGTGCACGTGAAACAGCAACCATGTGCTATGCACTGGGCGAGCCAACCAATTAGCGTTCGTGTACGAAACTATGTCTACTCAGCTTCGTGTAGAAAATTCGACCAGACGAGTTCTTCCATAGTTTGCCACACGAAGCTAAGGAGGAAAGCAATTATTTTGAGCACCATCGGTAGTTGTTCATCTCTCTCAGTTCACATGGTTTTAGATTATAACAACCCGGTATTAGACTCAATCAACGTTGCTGTTTAATGAAAATACGTTGCATTATGGTTTGTTTATTGTTATAGTCTTTTTACTTATGGTTGCTCTCAAAAGGGCCGTTTGTTTTGAATGTTTTCGGGGTTTTTGATGACGTCATCGTCCACACGAGGCGTACGTAAAACCGAGGGTTCGTATAACTGGGGTACGTAAAAACGAGGTTCTACTGTATATATATATATATATATATATATAAGTAAATTAAAAAAGTAAAATGGTAAAAGAATAATATAAATTCAATATTTGGTTACAGGAGGTTAAACATACAGCTGTTTTAATAACAGTATCAAGATGCAGCCTTTAAAGTTTTTATGATTTTGGCCATTTTTCCAGAGCAGACCATCACAAAATCATTAACTGTTATTTTCATGTCGAAAATGGGGAAAGCAACGATTTAACGTGATATATAAATATATATATAGCTTAGTGTAATAAAAGATTTTGAAAATGTTGACATTCCAAAATGTTTTGGCCATTATCTTGGAAACATGGTTTGCTAGGAGTGACTGGTTTGGCTTGTTTTCATCACCTTTAGATTTTCGTTTTGATTAACCACACAAGATATTGATTAAATTTTACTGCTTGTCTATCAAAACAACAGTTGTTTTGGCCACTGTATACCTAAGTTAGTTCATTAAAATTTCTAAAACAAATCCATAATTATGTGATTTTGCCAACCTTTGCAGCTTCTGCATACTGGTTAAGAATCAGGTAAATATGTCCAATATTATAAAGAATCCTAGCAGTGGTTGAGTTCTGAGGAATCTGCAGCAAAATCTCTAAAGCTTTCTCATTATTACCGCAATCAAATGCTGTCACACCTTCATGCCAGGCTTGGATAGCTTCCTTGTGGGTTAGCATACTCTCCATTTTATCATTCCTGCAAATCAAAGAATTTTTTTACATTTGTATGAGTATAGCAATTTCAGTGCTCTACTTTTAACCAACTTTTTTACACTATATTTATAGAAGGTGCCCCTTTAAATAAACATTTAACAATAAGATGCTTCATAAATTAAGTCTCATTACGATGTAGTGGAGATGTTTACTCGTGAGAAAAAATTTGAACTCAGGACCTTGGGATTGGAGGCAAGAATCTACTACTACTGTATAAGCTACACCTCCACTACTAACTACTTCATTTAACTGATATTGATGATAACGATAATGATGATTGTGATGTTCAAACCACAGTATTACACACATTGTAAGCCAAACATACACAGCACCCTCCGTTGTATAAAATCATGTGTTCATGTTGCTTTATTTACAAAACTGCAATCAACATAACATCAACGACGAGTGCTACTGTACTTCAACGAAATTGACAGGATGATTGGAAAGTAACATATGCCTAGGAGTAGGCTTAATTTTTTACATAATCTGCATGGAAATTCGATTATTTACATAAACATTGATATTTTACAGTGTACTCTTAATTGTTTTGTAGGAGAGAAAACAGTCACTTAATTACTTCACTTAAATTCATTTTTGTATTTCAGAAGACATGGTGTCTCTTATTAATGATAAAGCTGAAGAGTCTAGTCTGGGAGGATCATCTGTAGAAAATGCATCAGTTTCCGTTAAAAATAAGAAAGAAACTAAAATGAAACATGTTTCACCTACAGCTGTAAATAGTTAAGTAAATGTTTAATAGAATCCAGTCACAGTATCAATTTACAACATGTAATGATCTCACAACAATGATTTATTGTCATATTAATAGTCTGTCAGACTGTCTATTATCACTAAATACAAATCACTTGGCTGTAAAAACTGCAGTATAATACTGTACCGGCACTTTTTTGAGCCACATACAAATTAGGTGTAAATTTGTATAGTAGAAATATATTAAGGATTTGAATAAAGTTTTTTAAGGTAACAGTTACTTAATTCTAAACTATGTGTAAATTTTAAACTGCTACACCAGATAAATTTTAAACTGCTACACCAGATCTTCAGCAGATATCATAGTGTTTATGCAGTAGTGTTTAATAAGTTTTGATAAAGAAACTTGACTGGCAGAATAAAATAAATAGCATGGCCTCAAATATTAATTTTTCAAGACCAAATCTTTTAAAAATTAGAAAACAAAAACAACACATATTTCCCTATGATATTGGATCACATTATTCATTGTCTTAATTTCCAGCAGCAAAATGTCTGCAAATTACATCACAAATACCTACGGGGGCAGCTGCTACATCTACTGACAGCTACATCTACTGTACCGCAGGTACAGTAGATGAATTTTCTAGTTCATCATCTTCATGAATGGGATCACCCCATGCTTCACAGAGGTTGTGCAGTAAAATACATGCACATATTATGTATTTCAGATTAGAGGTTTTGCTATCGTTGCGTTTCATAAGGCAACGACATCATTTTCTACAACCACTCTGCTTCTACTTTGTGTGAAGTTAAATGCTCGTTGGTCAGGCGTGAGGTTTGCCTCCAGATACGGCTTCATCATGTTTTTTGACGGAGCATATGCTGCAGGTAAATCTACCCCATCAATTTGTTTGGTTAACTCTAGGTAGAATCTACCCTGAGCCATAGTATGGCCTATTTATGAATGTTCGAAAACCCATGCATCGTGGCATTTTCCCGGCCAACTGACATCAAACTCGATGAAGCGATATCTGTAGTCAACTACTGCTTGTAGGAAAACACTGTGCCACTGCCTCTGGTTGTAAAAATCTGTGTGATATTCTGTTGGCGGTAAAATAGGAATATAACATCCATCAGTACTACCGCCACATTGCAGAAATCCCCAGGTTGTTTCAAAGCCATTAATAATTTTTTTCATTTCATTTGTGCTTGGCTTAGGCGCATGCATCAGCACCTTACAAATACATTTACAAACCTATAAGATAAAATTGTGAATTATCATAATACTAGAAGCATACATAAAATAATCGTAATAAAATGAATATATCAATTTTTTATTTTTGCATATCCAGCAAATATAAAAAGTAAAGAAAAGAAAATATATAAAAATATATATATACACATATATATTATATCAGATATTATTTTCTATGGAAAGACATTTTATGATTTTTCCATTTTCTGTTCGGAAGCTAACATGGCATTAAATCCTCTGCGTTTCTTGGCATTTGCCCAAATTTCAAAGACACTCTCATATTCAAAGTCTTCTATTTCTGAAGATTCTAAGTACATCAGCATCAAATTGTGCATGTGCAAGACTGACAGCTTATTCCTGGAATCAGATTTGATGGCATTGTATCCCGATATTCCTCTTTCACAACTCACCATGTTACTGGTAACGTCAGGCCTATTGCTGCCAGTTTGCTGAAATTGGGGTATGTTTCCCTATTTTCATTAATGAACCCTGATATGGGTGAAGGTAGACAAAAAAACACTCATGGAGCAAGGAATGTAGTCTAGGCCTACTTGAGAGAGCTGTGACATTTATTTTATGCATTCATTCAAGGAATATTTCAGTTAGGCTTACAATTTTTTAATAACTGTACTGCTTTGAAACCTACACGATCACCATCAGCATACATCGTTGGTTTAAAGTTTCATCGATCAATAAATGTGTCACAGTCGCGTTGGGAAATTAAACTGCACCTGCACCGTCGTCGACGTCACTCTAAGCCCTGTGTACTCGTTACATACGTAAATCGTGCTGATTAATACAGCAAAAAATAGTGCGGAAAGTCAATCATAACCAAGTGTAAATGTGACCCCCATGGTTCATGTTGAAAAGTATTACACACACATTTAAATATAATCTTCATAATTGACTTTAATAAAACGATAATAACTGATTAGATTTTTCAACCATCGCACATGGCCTATATATCTTGCAAAAATAATTTGCGGTCACACTAATAGAACAACACACATAAACGTCGCATGGCACTGGCAATGGAGTAGCGTAAAATGGAGATCTTGGCCGTGATCGTGCCGACGAAAGAAACAATGTATTTCAGCAAGTATTTAAAAAAAAATTTTTTATTATTTTTATGCTTTCGCCAAAATGGCTAAAGTACAGTAGTTGTTTTTTGTTTCGCCATTCAAAATTGTTTTCGCCCATGGCGACTTGGCGATTGGTTAGCGTGAACCCAGTATAATATAGGTATCCAGTTATTCAAAAACATTAAAATCAAAATTTTGTAAAAATGTTGACTTTGGCCTGGTTTGGTGAATATCACAATATGATTTCACCAACGATGCGTCTCATTTCGTGGTGAGACTTCACATATATAAAGAGACATTTACAAAGACATAAGAAAAATACAGTATTAAAATTTTTGTCTTTTAAATAATCAATTATAAATCACAATTATTTAAATCCATAAAAATTACAATAAAAACTTTCATTTAGAATATCATATCTATTAAAACATTAGAGTCATTAATTTTGAAAACCAGAAACAAAAGGTGAAGAAATGTTTCAGAATTCAGAGGCAAGGAATAATTAGAAGGAATTAGACTTATTGCAGAAAAAGGTATGGTGGAATTCTGAAAAACAGATTGATTTACAGATATTGCACAATTTATATATATTCTTTAGTCGTTTAATATTATCCTCAGAGATAAAACCTCTGGACCCAATTTCAAAAGCGATCAGTTTCTCATCGAATCCCGAGTCCCACATGTCTTGTATTAAAGGATCGTATTTGTTGGATTTTCTTGTATGAGCGGATTGTATGTTAGGTTCAAAAGGGACAGAGAGTTCTATGAATATGATAATGACCTTTTTTAAGTGTTTCCAGTAAATAACAATGTCCGGGATGAGGGATGTTGTAGTGCATGCGATTGGAATTGTGGATGAGCGTGGTAAATGTGGTGCGGTTCCAGATTCGAGGTCAGAGTAAATAGAAGGGGGAGATGAATCTTTACAAAACATTTTCTGTAGATGCTGATAATAATCCAGTCTAATCTCAAACTATTTCCATACAGAGCAGTTCATCCTTTGCACACCCTTGGAAAGTTATAAATGACAACAGTTAAAAGTCACTCACAGCAATGCCATACAACATTAATTTATGTTACATGTATTATAGTAAATCAATTACACTAATTGGGACTTCTTTTTTTTTTTTAACTCATTATTTCTCTGGTCCTGCACTGTCGTAACATTAATTAGTCCGATAAAACCTTGTTAGCAAAGATAGACACTTAAAAAAGTTATATTATAAAATTATATACAAAAAAAAACCTGCATAAGTAAATGTTAATAAAGCATATCCCAGTAAGAGGCTCAAATATTTGTCTTGTGACTGAAATAGAAACATTTGAGTCTCTGAATGTTTGTGCATCACAATTTCTAATAGCTTGGACCTGCCCTGTAACAAGTCCTACTAAACACCACACGGAACCACACAGAACCACATGGGACAACACAGATGCAAAAACGATTAAAATATTACCAAACTTGTATAACAATAATTGTCCACATTCCGTTAAAAATCGATAGTATGTTGTTATGGTTCGTCTGCTGTGTTTCAGGAAATACTGAATGCATTGATGTGTCAGCAAAAACGCATTCAAACATGACCTTCATGGACTAATTCCATATATAATACAGGTACTGACACATATGTAAGGTAATGAACCTAAGAATTCTTATTTTAAAAAAAAATTAATTTTGAGTATATAAGTTGTAATATATTTCAATTTTGCATTAATGTTACAGATTTTCTTTCAATTTTCAAATGAAATTATGTTAAGAAAATTCAAAATAATAATAATAATATGTAGGTTTTTAGTGCTCTATACAACTAAGTCTTAGAGCGCTTTTCCACATTATTACCCCAGTCATTGGAATGATGCCTGGGGTAATTCCATAGTTTGCTGCATGAAATATTTCAGCACATTCTGCACTTGAAGCTCCTTAGGTACCAACTTATACGCCTGCTTGGAGAGAAACAATGCAGATAAAGTGCCTTACTCAAGGACACAAGCGAAATGCACATGGGTATACTTGAAAATGATAATGTTGTCTGTAATGTAAGTAATAAATTAGGTTTAATATTTTCTAGTAGTACTAACATTATTGACAGCTCCCGAAACTGGTCTATCCTATTGTTTAAAGAAGCGTTCGCTATACGTAGACTACACCCGAAAGGTCCACTGATTAATCTCAGATAAGAAAGTATAATACATACTCCAAGTACTGAAATACACGCCATCGTGTTGGGATTCAATATTTCGACATTAATTATGTCATCATCAGGAATGATGACTACACCCTTTGCTTAACAATAGGCTCAGCTTCAAAGGAGCTTTCTTTGTTCTTGAAGGTAGCTTTGATCAGTAGAGTATAAAGAATGCTTTGATCTTTTGTTTAAATCACTGCTATGTCACCTACTAGAGGTAATGTTTTGATTGGTTAAACACTTTTGGTACTAGTGCATATAAGCTTGCTAATATGGATAATTTTTTCATTCCTGATGATGACATAATTAAGTGTTTCTTTACTTTATATAAACATCTACGTAAAATGAATTCACCTGGTTTTCCTAGATAAGGCAATCTAATCCAAATCTTAATCAAGCTATCATCAGTAGGCCTATGTATACATTTAGGTACATTTAATTTCTTAAGTACACTATTAACAACTTTTAAAGGGTACCAATTCCAAGACATAAACTTCCTAATGTTACTAAGCTCTGCTTGAAGTTTATCAGGAGTACACCATCTGTGGGCTCTAGAAACTAAACTACAAATCCAGGAGATCTTATGGTTCCATGGAGCAAAGCTATCCCATAATGGACATATTGACCTGTATGTGTATTTTTACGATATATAACTCATGCTTCTTACACTGTTGTTAGATTGAAAATCCAGAAAATGTAAATGATTCAAATGTAAAATTTATCTGTCTATGAAAACCAGTAAAGTAGCTTAAAATTTGAGGGAAATCATTGGGCTTAGCAAGTACTAGTGTGTCGTCAACGAAAAGAGTATAAAACTTAATAGTACCTGATTCAATAAGTTTAGGAACAATAGACTCTTCTAGTTCAGTCATTAAAATATTAGCTAAAAATGGGCCAAGAGGTGAACCCATTGAGACACCATCAGTTTGATAATATAAAATTTATTAAATTACATGTAAATACAGTTTTAGTACAGCAATCTAAGTAGTTTCCTTAGTGAATATTTCTTAAGGCTAGTAGATATCAGTTTCGTATTGTAAACTCTATCAAGAATTATATTAATTACCTTAGTAAGGGGAACGTTTGTAAACAGAGATTCAACATCAAAAGATACAAATCGATAACCTAAATTTAAATTATATAAATTGTTTGGTATAGCTTTTTTATGTAATTTAAAAAGACCCATGTATTTAAATACCCTAGGTGGCCGCGATAAAAGTGATGTGTAATCGGGTAGCCCACCAGAACGCATGAAAAAAAGGAGAAATCGCGTCTAGGCTTAGCTAGGTCAACGTGCATAAATCGGGAAAAAATTATATTAAATTTATCATAACTCATATTCAACCAATTTTTGTCATTTAAACAGTAGGCCTAGATTACATCAATGTGTCAATCAAGCCATAGAATGTAAAGTTTTTTCGTGTTAGTCTGATTCCGCTCATTGATTACGATCGAGAGTAATCGGTTTTTATTTACCACCGATTAACAGATTACATAACATTTGATCTTAAAAATAAATGCAAAATTACAATACTGTATCCCTAGCCTAGTTAGGCTAGGCCTAGACCATAACTCCAGTGTCGCTACTAGGCGAAGGCCAGATAGGCCTAAGCCTATTCGAATAGAACAATCAATCTTGCAACTCATGTGAAATCTATCTAGGCCTAGGCCTAGGGCCTAGGCCTAGGCTCCTAGCCTAGCCTAGGCCTAGGAGGGCCGCCTAGCGAATTTCCGAAAGGCATAGGGCCTAAGCTAATTCCATTTTTACTTACAATAGTTAACAGGCGTGAAGATGTTGAGTAAAGTATTTGTTATATATGTTTTGGAAGGAAAACACGGCCGTCATAGTTGTTAGGCCTAAGCCTACGTGCGGAATTTCAACCAGTCAATGCGAATGACGTCCGGTTTTTGGCCGTCAGATATAGTCTGGATACTCAATGCCCAAATAAGGTTATTGTATGGAACGCCGAGTAGTGTAATCAAGGTGTGAATTGAATATCACTGTTGTTCAGTGCAACGTTGCCCGCGGGTTAGGAGGTACTAGGCAGTATTACAGTATTATTTGTTATAGTTAATCACACAAATATTAAATATATATAAAAAAAAAATAATTTATTAATATATTTAATATCAATTTATGATTGAATTAAATTGAATTATACTAGATCTCATCAAGTCTAGCTGCAGACGAATTTCCTTAACGTAGGATAGTTTGGTAGAATGTCATGAATTATTTATAATCATCTTTATAAGTCAATCGTGACGTCATCACTGTAACTCTCAATGTTATTTACCTATTCCCCACCCAGCGTCCACTAATTTTTCTATTAGTGGACACTTGGCTCGATTTTTTTAGGTTCGTGTGCAAAAAAGATCCCAATTTTTTTGTCACCGCGAATACATCGCGCACCGCGATAAAAATTGAATTGTACAGTAATTGAAAATTGCTGTCGTAAAACAAGCTTAATTAAAACCCGAAGAACTTCAAATTAAATATTAAGTAGGCCTATGAACAATTAAGGAATTAATTAAATCAATGGACCCTCAAAAACACAACAAACTGAACGTTTAATGGGAATATTTTAGATCAATTTTAAAGACTCATGGAACAAATATTGGTATGTAGGCCTACGGCCAGGCAGGAGGCCGCCCGGGCCTCCTCCTAATACTACTTCTACTAGGCCGTAGCCAAGCCTAGTTATGAAATCATCGCACGATGTTACCTGTCTGCATGCACCGACCGACCCAATACAGTTGGGCGTTGTTTCTATAATACCTCCCGATAATTTCTTCCTACCCCCAGATTTCAAACGCTGGTGCCGCCACTGTACAAAACAAAATAAACAAGTTGCATGAAATAATAGTCTGGTTGTAAAAATGCTGAAATGAACTTTAGCGGGAAAAAAGTAAAGGAAAATTAATTTTTGGTTTTTCTGAATCAGCATACCCTATAGTGTCTCAGAAAAAAAATCCCCATGCCTAGGGC